AAATTCAAAATGTTTATGTTTAGTAATTTTTGCTGTTTTTTTCTTAAGGAGGCTCCAGTTCCAAACTAATTATTGTAATAACTGATTAATGACGATTAATCGTTTTCAGCGCTGCAGGTTTTGGCTGAGCATGAAACTCAGATATGAAAGTTGGTCCAACATTTTATTGATGGGATATTTACGGAGCGGATCGCTGGAGGCCCCACCGCTCGAGTTTTTAACTGATTGGCCCCAGATGGGCGCCGGGCGCCACGTGCTGCCCTTCTGTCATCCACCACAGATTTAATGAGGGATTAGGAGATTAACTCCCACTGCAGGCCCGGTTTACCGCCTGCTCGGTTCTGCTGTTTCTGACTCGTCTGGAGCCGGTTCTGGTTCTGGAGGATCGACACAAACGACCCGATGAGAGACAACAGGACTAGAGATCTGATCTGACAAAGTGAAAAAACCTTTGGATGATTTCAAACCAAACTGGACTCTGAATCATCTCCTGTTCAGATTTTCACTTTTTATTTAAAAACCTTTTCCTCGTTTTTCTACAAGAAAAACTGAAAATAGATGAAAAATGGAAGCAGATGAAACCTTCACAGTTCTGCAGGTTTGATGAAGATCAGGCTGCTTCTGATCAGATCAATAAAAATATTCAGTTTTCAATCGATATTCTGATTAAAACAACAACAAAAATGGACTAGTTGATTAGTTCACTGACCAATCATTCAGGAAAATGTAGTTTTTAATGTTCATCTGAGGAAAAATGAGATTATTGAGTTTTTGACCAATCAGAGCAGATCCTGGAGAAATTGGTGCATCCTTCAGGACAACTCAGAAAAATCAGAAATAAGAGCTTCAGAAACATCAATATATCAATAAATCAATGTTTGTTTTCGGTTGTTTCTTTTTTTGTGTGTTGAATCTGGAATCTTCTGGAAAAATGACCAGAAATATTGTGGATGCTGTCGGAGTGCGTGGGCTTTGCGTGGGCTTTGCGTGGCGGCTCCCCGCGCGGCCCCACGCCGCGTGCCACTGAAAGAGCGTTTCGGGAGAAAAGTGAAAGAGGAAACGCGACGCGCTCAGAGGAAGATGAGGCTGGGTGGAACCAGCCGCCTGCAGCTCTTAGACTTTGCACACTGAAAAACTGCAGCGGAAAAAAACTCCCACGGAGCCGCTCCACGCGCATTTCGGATTTAATTGATTAAATCTCGCGTGTGCCCATCAAAAGAAACCGAACCGGAGCCGGTCGGAGCCGCGGTTCGGTTTTTTCCTCCTTCAAAGATTTTCGGATTCAGTTTTCAGCTCTTCCACTCGAGCAGCTCGCAGCCCGCCATGTTGAGTCTGCCGTGACATTTCCACACTGTCCGGTGCTTTCCCACGGACTTATTTCTCTCACAGCTGACCAAGAAAATGTCCCGCGAGTCGCGTCATCGACAAAAACACCAAGAAACCATTTTTACATCGCGAGGAAATTCAACTTCCACCCCACGGGACTCGGTGTTTATTTAATTTTCTGTTTTCTCTCTGCGTGGAAAATAAAATGAAATATTATGACCGGTGTGCGGGATCCGCGGGGGGTCTGGGGGCAGGAAGAGTCCCGCACAAACTAGTTTATCGCTTCTTCCTCCTGCAGAAACACAGCGACTCACTGCGAGAGCGTCTAAAAGCAGCAGCAGAGGAAACAACTCGCTGCGGGTCCGCCGCGTCCACGCAGCGCAATCCGGAACCCACGGAGGTGAAGAGGCGTCGGGAAGCGGGCCGGGGACCTCACCTGTCTTACCTGTCCCGGTTTGTCCTCCGCAGACCCCCCCTCCTCCGTCTCAGCCGCCGCCGCCGTTTCAATATGGCATCTCCCCACTGCGCATGTCCGCAAACATGTAGAGATATTTGGAGCCAACTCCTCCACTGACCTGTCAGCGCAGAGAAACGGCGCAGAAAAACCCAAAGATCAGGCAGCGGCGAGCAACTGACGCACACGCAGCGTCAGCGCACGTTCAACCCGGAAGTCCGTCTGTTCGGCTGCACGAGCGTCACAGCAATAAAACATTCATGAAGTTTTTCTGGTTCCGTCTGTGGAGTTTGTCCTGTTGGGAACGAAACTGATTCTGGGCTTGGATTGAAACTCTTTACTTTATACCGAGAGATTAATCAACTCGATCCAACAACTGCAGTCAGTTTTTCTTGAGTTATGATATTTGTTTCAGCAGGAAAACAGAAAAAAACAGTTTTCATTTGTTTCATGTTTTTCATCTTTTTTATCTTTTTTATCTTTTTTCATCTTTTTCATCTTTTCATCTGTTTTCATCTTTTTCATGTTTTCATCTTTTTCATCTTTTTCATCTGTTTTCATTTTTTTTAATCTTTTCATCTTTTTCATCTTTTTTATCTTTTTCATCTGTTTTCATCTTTTTTTTCTTTTTCATCTTTTTCATCTGTTTTCATCTGTTTTCATTTGTTTTCATCTTTTTATTTAATGAGTCTCAGTTTTTCTGTCTTATATTTTGTTCTTTTGTTCCATATTTTCATAATAGATGATTTTTAATTCAGACATTCTCTAATCATCATAACCGCCTTGTTTTGTTTTTTCTTTCTGATTCTTTGGACCAGATTAAAATAATCCGGTTTGGATTATTTTTCTTTTTTCTTCTAGAAGTTTTGATCTGGATCCTTTAGATCTGTTGAACATGAATCTCCTCCAGTTTGTTTTCTTCATCATTTCCATGTTTCATTTTCTGTTTTATCATTTTAAAAGTTGTTTTTGACCAACTTCTTGTTTCTCTGTTATCCTTTATTTGAAGTCACGTTTCATTTATCATTTATTTCATTTGTTTTTGTCTCATTAATTAATGTGCAGTTTATTGTTATTATCAGTTATGATCAAACTATTTGATAATCTCATATCAATCAGCGGGATTCATTTTTCTCCTTCATCTCTTTACTAGTTTATTTTTTCTCCAGGAAATCAAATGATTTGATATGTGTTAATATTATTGTTTTTTCTTAAATCTCACCTTTCCTCTTCAGCTCTTCAGTGTTTCCCAGTGTTCGTGGCCCTCAGCGCCCCCTGGCGGCGCATGCCGCATCTTCTTCCTTTGCTAAACAAGAAACAATCATTAAACCAAACTTGTAACTTTCACCGATGAAAACTGTGACTTTGTAAAGATGTTGATCCAGCAGGAAGCTGCTGCAGGTTTGATTGGAAATTTAAATATTACTATAAATGAATCAGTTCCTCTGTGGAAGTTTGACCTTTGGTTATGAAACAGAAGGATTATGATTTTAATGTGTTTCTCTGTTTCCCGACAAAATCCCAGTTAAATGTCTGACAGAGTTTAAGGAACAGAAACGGAGCAAAATTCAGCCAATGAATAAATAAGATTTAAAAAATGATGCTGGAAAGATTAGAACCAATTTTTAAAAACTAATCTAAAGGTTTTTATTATGAATAAAGATGTATTTTTAGCTCCAGCTGAATGATTTCCTCTGGCTGGGAGTTTCTTTGTGTGGCCTGGACCCGTCCAGAACCAGCAGAGGAAGGTTCTGCAGGAACAGATGGCCGAAGCGTGGCTCCGTTTAATCTGCACGAGAAGGAGCTTTTCCGGGCGGCGGGGAGAGGATTAGCCTGCAGCGCCAGGCGGACACGTGCTTCTGTTCTCGACCCAAACACCAACGTTCAGAACCAACCGTGGAGACATTCTGCCGTCAATGAAGAGAGAGAAACCAAACGCTGCTTCATGACTAAAAACATGCCACACTTTTCAGATTTCCCTGGAATGTTTTTCACGGCGTCTCAGAAAGTTTGACTAGAATCTGTCAACAAAACGGATCGGAGGAAAGATGTGAACACGTTTCTCCTCAATTTCAGGTTCTGGGGATCTGGACCCGATCAGACAGAACCCATCAGAACTGCACAGAATTATTAATATCCTTGATTTATCATCACTGGTCCTGGTCCTGGTCCTGGTTCTGGTCCTGGTTCTTGGATGGTCACTGTGCTGCCCACACTCGGCAGAACCGGGCCCAAGGGCCGTTCGGGTCGGTGTCAGAGTGCAGAATCTGGGTCGTCTGTGGATTTGTGGGATATGAAGCAGATTAATTTCTTGAGCCGCAAACATAAACGTTTGATTCTTCGATCTTCTGGGTCTGTTATTTTCACGGAGTGGACCCGTCCTCCTGGTTCTGCAGAACTATTTCTGACTTAAAGGTCGTAATTTAACTTGTCAAAACACAAAGACTTCTGGGAAAATGTTCTCTGGACTGAAGCTGGATCTGATCTAGAACTAATGCAGAACCTGAAGGACCCGACTGGTGGTGGCGGTGTGGTGATGTGGGCTGCTTCAGAACCAGCAGAACTAAATGGATCCATGAGTTCTGCTGTGCAGCAGGAGAAGGTCCAACCGGACCAGCAGGTTCACCTCAGCAAACAAAAACAGTACAATTCCTGTTTTTGGGTGGCCTAGTCAAAGGAAAGTAGAGAATCTGATTGAATCCAGCAGCAGTCAGAACTCCTGAGGAGAGTTTAGCTTTCTCATTACAAATTCAATTTATGATTGTTGAATTTCTTCTTAGGTTATTTTTGTGTTATTAATATTCAGTTTCTTATCTGATCATCAAAGCAACAAAACAAATTTGTGCGGAAAGTTCATTTAAACTAGATACGTCATATCTGGTTTTTCATGTCAAATTAAAAGTCTCTTTTCTGTTATTACGGTTTTAAAAGAAATACTTATTAAATGTCCCAGTTTTAAATTTTTCTAATAACAATCAGCTGATGTTTCTGCTTTATAGAGATTTAAATTTTATTTTTTCCTGATAACATTTGGATTCCATAAATTTTTCACTTTTGTCACTAAAATATTTGACATTATTTCCGAATTTCTTTAGTTCAAAATTTCTCAGATAATTAATATTTTCAGTCTTTATTTTTTCCTATATTTTGGAATAAAATATGTTTATGATCAATATTTGATCCATCTGTTTTGGTGTGTTCCAGCTGGTGCTTTTATTTTGAAGGGGCGTCACCGGAAGCTGGTGCTGGTGTCGCTGCGCCGCTTTCCGGCGGGTCCATCCCTGTTGTTGTGGGTCGGAACATCGCCGCTGCGGTTCCCCGGGATGTAACCACTTTCTGGACCGGCACCGAGCAGAACGGAACCGCAGGCTGGCCGGTCCAAACGGAACCGACTCGGGGTGGATTTATGGCAACAATGGAGCGGTTCGGCGGGGTGGTTCTGGTGAAGCGGGTTCTGGACCTCGGTCCGGTCGTGGTGGCCAACATGTCCGACATTAACGAGTCCGGACCGCACGGCTGCGATAACGGAGCTCTGACGGACCGGTTCGGGGTTCTGATCCAGGCGCTGCTGGCCGTCGTGGCTTTCAGCACGCTGATGTGTGAGTACCGACTGCACGGTTCTGGTTCTGGTTCTGTCCTGGTTCTGGTCCTGGGACGGCCTTCAGGAGCCAACGTGGCGTCTGGTTCCCGCTGGACGGAACCAGAACCGCTTCCAGAACTTCTCCACCAGAATGAACGAGGTTCGACATTCCAACAGAACCGAGTCTGTGGGATGGAACCGATCTGATCTGAGGCCCGGTTCTGGACAGAACCTGAACCTCAGATGGATTTAACTGCCTGGTCTCAATCAGATTCAGGTCCAGGCTTTGACTAGGCCACTCTGAAAGCTTCTTTGTGGATCCTGTGAGGTGGTCCCAGTCAGCCCAGTTTCTGGTCTTGTTGTAGAGTCTTGACCTTTGACCTCAGCTCGTGATCTCGGGTTCTTCAGAATTGATTGTTTTTCCTGTAAGTTTCTCGTCTTATCCTCGATTATTGATCGGTCAGAGTCCTGCGGCTCCTGGGCCAATAATCAATCAGGCTGATCGATTCTTCATCCTGACCGCAGCAGGAAGATCTTCCTCTCTCCATGTGGGGTCGGAGCGCCCCCTGCTGGGCTCCTGCTGTGGCCTGCAGCAGTCTGGAAAAGTCTGGAGTCAGATTCCAGGATTTTCCAGGATTATCCAGGATCTGTGAGGTTCTGATCCAGTCTGGCTCCAGAATATTCCGAGTCAGAAGGAGTTACTGCAGCTCTAAAGCACGGTGGAGGGAGAGTCATTTCCACCTGTGGAGTTTTTATTGCAGTGATTTTATTTGGAAGTATTTACAGACATAAAGCAGCTTTTTATGAATAATATCTGTTTCTCTGCCCTGGTGAATTTTGTCCTGTTGAACATTAACACGCTGAAGTCGGTGTGTGTTTGCAGTGAAGCGTTTCCGGGAGCCAGCAGGCGTCAGGCGGCCCTGGAGGATCTGGTCAGAACATTTCCTGCTTTTACTGTCCGGATTGAAAACACGCGACGTTTTCACATTTTGAAGGTTTTTTTGTCTTTTCCAGGTTTTTCGACACGTCCAAGCAGGCCATCGGAGCGCTCTTCATCCACTTCACCAACGTCTTCCTGTCCACGCTCAGCAAGGAGGATCCCTGCTCTCTGTGAGTCCCAAATTCAACATGGCCGACCCGACACGGCGCTAGCTGCTAGCTGCAGCCTCTAAGCTCTGGTCTAACAGAAATAAAACGCAGCGGTGTTTTCCTCTGAAGGTACCTGATGAACTTCCTGCTGGATGCGACGCTGGGAATGCTGGTGATCTGGGCAGCAGTGAAACTGGTTTCCAGACTGGTGGAGGCCAAGCAGTGGAGTCTGCTTTCCTTCGGAGAATACGGTGAGAGGAAATCCTTCAGCTCATGAGAAAACACACAGAAAGTACACCAACAGCTGCCTCAATCACAAATAGTCAATGATTTAATCAATCATTAATCATTGATTATCAGATAGATAACCATCAGATAGATGGTTGTCTATCTGATAACCGTCAGATAAATTAGTTATTGATTAATCGCTAACTGGAGTAAACAAGTGCTAAGAACAGACATCGGATGAAAGAAGAACACAATCAGAGCCGAAATGAAGCCAAAACTCAACAATAAATATCAACATTTTACATTTGAGATAAAAACAAATGATCTTCCTGTTCACCCAGAATCCTCTAGTAACAGCTCCAGCTTCTCGTTCTGTGAAACAATCGCCTTATCAATACAAATAATAATCAACACATTCATAGACAGAAACTTTTAGCCGCAGATTTATCCTTCAATACAAACAATCAAGCATTCATCAAACAAATGCTGCTGTTACGATTTAGGTGACAACATTTTATTATTCAAACACGTAATTGAGTTATTTGTTGCATCTTTCTAATCGTGTGAAAAAAAGTGTGAAGTAGTTACATGAAAAATCTGCAGAATTTCCTAGTTTTGAATCCGATGAATTGATCGACAATAATCATACTAAATACAAGTGAAGGCAGAGGGAGCAGATCCAGAGTCGGCCACTAGAGGGTGCTGTGGTGAACCAACCCGACTGTTCTGCTGCTTCCTGTGTGCCTGGATCAACTCAGCTTGTGATGGTCTCTGTCCACCAGGCGACCCTCCGCAGGCGGCGGCGTGGCTGGGTCAGGGCGGCGTCTACCTGCTCATCATGGTTCTGGAGAAAGGCGTGATCAGCCTGGTTCTGCTCGTCCCCGGATGGTCCAGAGTAAGACGGGTCAAAATGGACTGAACGTTTGGGACTTGGTGCCCAGATCCGGTCCTGAAGATCCTGCATGTTTCACATCACGTGTGTCAAACTGAAGGCTCGGGGGCCAATCCGGCCCGCGTAGCTTCTCATGTGGGCCTCCAGAGGGACGCATTAACAAAACCTTCAGTATTACAAGCGAGCTGAAATATTGTTTCATTAACTACATCAAAACCATTTTTATCTACTTACTGACTCATTTAATCTGTTTTATTTTGCAAAATTAAAGTAAAAATAAAAAATTCACAATATTTTGCTAATGCATACACTCTATGCAGATACATATTTATAAATTTGCCCCAAATCATTGATTTTATTGGAAAATTCCCCAAATTATTCTGAATCTTGATGAGTTCAGTAATTTAAAGACGTACTCTGCTATTCATTTTTATTGATTGATTCTGGGATCAATCAAACTGTAGTTCCTCTGTTCCAGCTGCAGGAGGTGCTGCTGAGCTACATCGCTAACCCACAGCTGGAGCTGGCGCTGGTCATGCTCATCGTGCCGTTCATCGTTAATGTAAGCTGATTTAACGGTCGGATCGGGTCCGATCGGGTCCGGTCGGGTCCGGACAGACAGCGGATTCATGCTGTTCCTCTGCTGCCCCCTACAGGCCGTCATGTTCTGGGTGGTCGACAGCCTGACCATGAGGAAGTACAAGACCATGACGGGCCTGGAGCACAGCGCACACTCCAAGCAGACCGAGGCTCTGCCAGCAGGGGGCAGCAGCGAGGAGGCTCAGGTGAGACTGACCTACGTTCATTGTTTCTGTACTACGCCCCCTAGAGGACGTGGCAGCTGGAAATGTTTCAGTTTTAAGGTTTGTTAATATTTGAAGTTTTATGTTTTTCTTTAGGATATTAATGAACCTCAAACTTAAAAACAAAAATCAAAACAGGTCAAACATAACCTTTCCGTCTATTTTCATTCTTTCCAAGACACAAAGAAAAGAAAAAAACTGTTTGGAGTATTTTAGTGTTATAAAGTTTTTATTTCTCTTCCACAAACAAACATGATTAAAAATCAATTTTCAGCCAGTTTCTGCACCAAACAGTTAAAAACGTAGAAATGTGTCTAAAGGTTGATTTTAAATGAATATTGTTACTCAGCAAACCTCAGTGTTTTTGCTCATTTGCACTGTTCTTCTGAGAGGAAACTCAGAAGAACAGACATGGCCCCCAGGGGGCGCCATCTGTCTGGGCTTTCAGTCCAGGTTCTGGTAGAGTTCTAAACTAAAGCGGGTTCTGGATCAGAACCAGGTTTGTTTCTGTAGGGACAGAGGAAAACGTCAGAGTTACACACACTGAACAAAACTTAAACATTGAAAACAAAAAAAAATTACATCAAACATGAATCAGTTTTCATCTGTTTCTACTTTTTTATTTATCTCTCATATTTCATCTGTAATATGGAATATTAAAAATTTTGACAAAGAGTCAAAATAAAAATTCAGTAATATTTCATTGACACCACAGGCAGATAAATGTTGTAAGGCAGATTGTAGATGGATGCTTAGCGAATCCATCGTTTCTTTTTGATGGAACAAAAATACCTCAGATTATTGATCAGCCCTCAGAGATTCTCCAATAAATGAACATTCATAATTTGGTAAAAATAAGCTCAACTCTTCAAAAGATTCAAAAACCTCAGAGCTCCAGCTGACCGCTGAGTCTGAGATTGGAGATGCACCGTTCTTGCTGTGGGAGAACCTCCAGGCCCTGAGGGGCCCCTGCCCTGGTCCATGCCCCGGTCCACGCCCCGGTCCACGCCCCGGTCCACGCCCCGGTCCACGCCCCGGTTAATGTTTTTATCTGAGGTTCTGGTTTGATCTTCATGTGAGATGGTGAGTGTCCTAAACTCACCTGATTTTTGTTTTCGTCAAATTTCTCTGTTGAAATCAGTTTTCTGAACACAGAGACCATGTTTTCAGTTTCCATCATCTCAGGGGTCGTGACCTTTGTGTGTAACGGGATTAGAGGCTTTGTTTCTTCCTTCTGTGGCGCGCTGCCAGGCGGCCATGAGTCGAGCCTTCATCCAGGGAATAAAAGTGACATTTATGGAGCGTCTGCAGGCTGATGGGATGGAAAGCAGAGGAGGAAGAGGAGGAGGAGGAAGAGGAGCACTCACAGTGTGACTCACAGCAGAGTTCAGCTTTCAGCTGCAGGAATATTTCAGCTGTTTAAACTATAAGTCACATGGAAAAAAGCAACAATGAAACTGTTTGTAGAAATAAAAATGCAGTTTAGAAGAGCGGTGTCCAAAATGTGGCCTGGGGGCCATTTGTAGTCCTTGAAATGATTTTGTTTGGACCTGGACTAAAAGTTAAGAATGGATAAAATTAGGCAAATAGCACCGACAACAACCGATTCCACAAAAACATGATTATTTCTGTTTTTCTGAAAATCTTTTTATGTTTTGGATCTTTAATGGTTTCATAAAAGATGCTGAGCAACAGATAAACTTTTCTGGTTTAAATGATTCATAATAGTAATAATAAACAGCAGCATGTTGCTTTACATTCATAAATTCTGATGGACTCTCATAAGGAGTGATGTCACTTCCTGTGATGGTTCGGAATCGAAGATCCAGAACATCCAGACTGGGAATGCTGAACTGGGATAACTGGTCGGCTCTCCTTCCTCAGGTTCTGCTGGCTGACAGCGACTCCGGCGAGGAAGAGGAGGAGGATGAAGAGCAGCGGGTCCATGTCCAGTACTCAGGCGGGCCGCTGAGACCCAGCTGGGTGGTGGTGTAGAAACGGTCCAGTCAAAGCCTCATCTTCATCATTAGGCCTTCAACTTCCTGCCTTCCAGTGGAAGAAACTCTAAGAGGAATCAGTGATGACATCATCATCAGAACTGTGACGGGTCTCCCTGGTCCAGAACCAGAACCTTTGGTTCTGGTCATGCAGTAAATCCGGATCAGAATGGTTCTGCATTTCAGGAGGAAAAATGAGTTTATCAAAAAATAAAGTTATTAGAAATGAGCAGCTGATGATCCATCTGATTATTTTTAACAGTTTAACCTGTGACCTTTGACCTGAGCTCCCAGCAGGTGAGATTATCAGATTATTTTGGATTATTTTGCATTCCTTCTGCCTTCGTTGTGAAGCTTTAAGCTGAGGCGGTTCTGTTTGGGTCAGAAGCAGAACCTCAGGCCGTCCAGTAACAAATCCATCTGCTCTACTGCTCGGTGCACTGAAGTTTTTTCTTCCACCTGATTTTCCACTGAAACATTCCTCTGCAGCTCCAGAATCAGAATCTTTTTAGTTTGTAAATCACACAAAGTGTTACATAAAGAATCATGATGTTTTTCTACATAATTAAAAACTATTATTTGGGTTAAAAAATAATTTCTTTAATAATTTTGGTAGAATTAATTTTGTTTAAATGACTGGAACTCCACACAAAGAAATGTTTCATAATCTGTGCAGTAAAACAATTATCACATTTACTGAGATATTGCTATTCTGGGATCAATACTCTAATAATCATATTTCTATGTTGCTGTTTATTCCTGATTGTTTCATGTTTTATTTGTTCTTGAATGTATTTTTAATAAACCAAATAAAGGATGAAAGTTTCTGCTGGTTCTGGTCGGATCCAGAGTCCTGCTCTGCTCTGAACCTAAATAAACCCAAATGATTATTCTGAGACCAGAACTGCTGTTGAGGTTCAGTTCTTACCACCCACACCTGGCTGCAGCGCACCTGTATGGGCGGGGTCTGATCTGTGTGGGCGGGGTCTGATCTGTGTGGGCGGGGCCTGTGTGGGCCGCTGCACTTTAATGAGGCCTGGTAGCAAACAGCTGTTACCCCTGAGAGAAATTCCAACAAATGAGTCTAAAACTAGTTTAAAGTTTTTATTCACGTCAACATGGAAAACATTCAACATCATGAAACGTCATTTCATTAGAAATAGTAGAAAACAAACGTACAGGTTGAAACCTGACGTCATCAAGTTATATTTGGATATAGTTAAATCAGATAATAATTATGATAATAATGATAGTATTCATCCGTTGTTGGTGTTTCCGGTGTCGAACAGGTGAGCCGTGACGTAATCCTCGTACCGGCCGTCAATCAGCTTCTCTGCATTGTTCCGGGCAAACCAGCAGTCCACGCTCTGCGTCCCGCCGTAGATCCGCCTGCTTTTCCGAACCACCGGTACCGACCGCTCCTTCACCTTCAGGTGTGCGGACGGGTTCAAGTTTCCTGCCGCGTCGCCCGGCGCCACGCCCACTTCCTCATGCAGGAACTGACCTGGAGTCAGGAAGAAACCGTCAGCTTCACATCCTGCCCTGAAACTGAAACGATTCAGTTTAAATCAGATTTCTTTACTTTGATTCTGAATTGGGGTTCAGCGGAGCAGCAATGAGCCGTTAGCATCGAGCCGTTAGCATCATAGCTGCAGCAGAGGGACCTCAGCTAGTAATTCAGAAATTCTCCTTATTTGATGGATAGCTCTGGATTTTTGCATCTGTTAAATGTTTCTGAACAGTTCATATCTTACCTGCTGGAGATGGATGACATTTTCATTCAGTGAAATCCAGATCAGTTAGTGCTGGAGGATGTAGCTAGGCTAGCTAGCATGTAGCCCCACAAAGGCTACATGTTAAAGAAAATAAAGTCTAAGTGAAGTTCTACCACCTTAAAGTTTATGAAGTTTTATGTTTTTATTTTATTCTGAGCAGAAAATCTAAAATGTTTTCAGGAAGATTACTGGTGGCGCGCGGCCTCCACTGTGTTTATCAGCCCATCTGAAAGAAAGATTTTACTGCGGGTAAGTCCTGAACCAAACCACGGCTGAGCTGGTTTTCAGTCACATCTACATATTCCAGGTTTTATTATTTACCATCTGAAAATGAACAAATGATAACGATGAGGAGGGTTGAAAATCTGGCAGGTTGTTAGCATAACATTAGCATAACCTCAACATTACTATCCAAGAACATCTGAGCATCTATGAGCAGAAACTGTTGAAGACCAGATGGAACCGTTGGGACACTGCAGGGCAGGGGTCCAAAGTGTGGTCAGTGGGCCATTTGTGACCCTTCAAATTATTTTAGTGGCCCCTGAATGCAAATCATGAATGATAAAATTTATCAGTTTAAAACCTTTTTTATGTTTTGGATCTTCAATGATATATCGCTGAGAAGGTAAAACTTAAAAAACCTCAAAATAAAATCTTCCTGCATTTGATGAAATGCAGAAAAGCTTCAACAGTCGTTGAAGCAGGTGGAGGTGGTCCCTCCAGTAGTTTGGGTAAAAAGTTTGGACACGTCTTCTGTCCTCAACCGTCTGAAACTCGGTTTGAACTTCAGCTGCTCTTCATGTCTGAATGTAGCTGCTCTGTGATTGGCTGACTCCTGCTTGCGACAGCAGCCAATCAGACGGCAGCTTGTTGGGACGTACCCAGCAGGCCGTGGCAGCGCGGTGAAAGCCCGGCGCTGTTGCCGATGTAGAACCCCAGGTGGTCCCTCTGGTAGGGGCTGGGGTTCTTGTACTGGTGCAGCAGGATGACGAAGCTGATGTTTCCTCCCACTGTCACCGTCACATTGGCCCCGCCCACCACGGCGACGGACAGCCGGTCGCCTTCCACGGCCGTGGTGGCGTGGCAGGGCAGGACGATGCGGTCTCGCCCGTCCAGGAGACCTTGGTGGGGGTCACTTCGATGTAGGCCCGACGCGGCCGATCCATCACCACAGCAATGCTGCTGAAGTACGTCCGCTGCTTCTTATGGCTGCCAGGGGGCGCCGGAGCGCCGACCAGCCGGCCGTTCACTGTCACACCTGGAAAAGTCAAGGAACCATCAACTAATCCCACCTGAGGTTGGGAAAGTCTGAGTCATCTCAGGCTGCGGCTTAAAGGGGCGGCGTCATGTAAAATAGATTTCTATGTTTTTAGCTTTTCATCATGTAAAACAAACTTGGAGTTTTGCTCTGATTATTATGTTTGATAAATCATTTAATCTCCATGGAAACCATTCAGCTGCAAGGCCTGGGTGGTCCTAACCCCGCCTTTCAGACGTAGCTCCTCCCCCTCTCTGCTCCTTCAGACTAGCCAGAAGCAATTAGCAAACAGCTGCTGAGCTCATTAGGAGCTGCTGCTCAGAACAACGCTGGTAAAAACACTAAAGGGCTAACAGGGGAGCCATGTTGGAGGACTTTCTGGAGTCAAATTTCTTATAAATCTTACTTGATATGTCATTTTATGACAGCTGAAGATGACATTATAACTTTGTCTTGCTATAAAATGCCAGAGTGAAGCCTGGCGGCCCGCCAGGCTGAAGATCTGCTGGAGGAAACCTGAGAAACAATGAGATCAGCTGGTGATGCTCACCAGAGTACTGGTGGTCAGAAAGCAGACGCAGGACGTCTCCAGGCTCTCCGTTGATGTTGAAGCAGACGGTCAGCTTACTGAGAGGGAACTCCACCACGAAGTGAGGGTCGCCGTCCGCTGAGAGAGAGCAGCACAGCCAGGAATGAGGGATCACTGAAGACATTTACATTTCAGATTTTCTATTTGGTTCAGACTTTCTCCCTGGTACGAAAGAAAACTGTTTAGGCCAATAAGAATTTCTGCATTTTCTTTCTTACAGTCCAGATGCTCTGTGGATAAACGTGTGACCAGGCGAGGGTCCGCTGTTGGTTTGAGTGTTTTATGTTGCAAATGTCAGTAAAGTGTCATATTGTGACCTGCTGTTTCTGATGTCTGGATTGTTTTGGGCTTTTGTCTTCAGGATGTTTTAAAAGGCTCTTTGGAAGCAGCTAAATGAGATTACAGAGCGACCCTAATGACAGGGCATTAGGCCGTTTCTGCCCCTGATGCCCCTCTCTTTACTAAACACAAACATCCAGGATCAGCTGCTTAAGTACAACGCTGAGCTGCTGCTGGCGCTTCAATTAGAGCTTTTCAGAGGAAAGCCAGGCTGATCAAAGCTGCCAGGCTGAATGAGAGACCCAGAGGCCGAGACGCTTCAATCTGCTGAAATTCACTCCAACAATGAGACAAACGTCAACACTTACCTGAGGTTTTGGACACAGTGATGGATTTCCTGACCGGTCTGCTCTCAGATTTTCCTGCAGAGAAAAATCTGTTCAGAAAGTGTCAAATAATTCAAGATATAATGATTTATAAACAATAATCTGGGAGCAGAAAGAATTAAAATACAACAATATACCAGAATAATGAAACAGAACTAATGCAGGATGTTCATCTTCTAAATGGTTTATTTTTTGAATTTCTAAAAATGTTTTGTCAAAACTTTAGCAGGTAGTTTTTCATACATGAACATTAATACTTAATGCTCCATCTGATGAAAGTTTTATAAATGAATCAAATGTTCAACGTTCTGACCAGGTTTACAAACGATCTGCTAAACGAACCTGAAGAATTCCTCCTAAATTTAGTTAAAATAACAAAGAGCCAAAGATGAAACCCTGAGGAACCTCACAGGTTAAATAAGCTCCTCTAGAAAACCTTTGACCTTTGAATCAGAGGAAACCAAATTCCATAAAACTGCTCAGATTTTGTGTCAGTTCATCCTGAATAATTTAACATTATTTGTTGGTTTGGTTTCCAGGGACCCAAACTGGACGGATGGATGGGAAACCAGCTTCCTGCTGGGAGAAACTGGATCTGTTGTGAATTATTCTCCAATGTTTCCCCGTCTGATGGATCGGAGGTGAAGCCTCACCCGTCCGGCTGCTCAGAGAGGAAACCGGGCCTCCCAGGTTCCCGTCTGGTTTCTGTGGCGGCTCGTCATCTGCAGCCGGCAGCTCATTGGCCGGTGAGGCGGCGTCGGGTGTGGGCGGGGCCGTGGAGGCCCGGGTCAGGGGGCGGGGCCGGTCCAGCACCATGTGGGTGAGCGGGGTGAGGAAGCGGAAGGTGAGGGACAGGTTGGTGGCCTGCTGGGTTTGCTCCTCCCTCTCCCCGCCGGAGCGGCTGCGCAGCCGCGCCCGCAGCCCCTGCTTCACGCTGAGGAA